ACGTATAACATTAAATAACTCAAAAAGGAAAATCAAGGTTCAGAGTGAATAACAGAATAGACAAGGTCAAAGATCAAGGAGACTCAGTGCCTTGTTAGCTTATCATTGAAGAGAGCTATAAGAAGCATACATAATACTTTCTGATGAAAAACATAGACCCAAAACCAATAGGCGCTCTCTACAACCAACCTCTCCAGTGTCTTGCATATGTAGATGACATAGCACTGTTAAAGAAAAGTAGTAAAGAAAAATCAAAAGATTTTAATTAAATTATAAGATACATTACTACAACACTATAAGCAGGACTGGAAGTTAACAGCCAAAAAACAAAATAAATGACTATGTTAAGAGAAGAACAGAAACCATTAAAATTAGAAACCACCCTTTTGAAAAAGTGAATCAATTCAAATATCTAGGATCCTTAATAAATTAAAGGAATTGCTTTCTAACAAGGCAAACTTCAGTTTGTCCCAAAATAATCAAAAGTAAAAACATTAAAAGATAAACAAAGAAAACCATAAAAAATAAATCAGATTAGTATTAACATACGCAAGTGAAACTTGGACCTTGAAAAAAAACAGCAAAAAAACCTTTTAAAAATGGGAAAGAAAAGTTCTCTGGAAAATATACGGACCAGTAAAGGATGAATATGGATGGAGAATATGTAACATCCAGGATCCCACCCTGAAATAAAAACTAGCAGGCTGTGCTTGGTGGGACACTTAGAAAGACTGCGGAATGACAGAGAATTGAAGAGGATGCACCACCAAACCCAAGAGGAAAATTACTCAAAGGCAAACCTATGCTTAGATGGAAGATGTGGAGAAAGATATACAGCAGCTAGGAATACAAGCAGGGAAAAGTAAAGCATCAGTTAGGTCTGAGTTGAAAGAAGTGGTGAGGCAGGTCAAAGCCCGACATGGGCTTATTACGGAGGGATGAAATTTCAAAAACTGTAAAGGAAAAAATGTTAATGTTATCATACCGTGGTGATCCTATGTCTTTCAAATCAAATACTTCCAAGTGCTCAACATATGCCTCAGCTTCAACAGACAGCAAAATATGTGTCCCTTGGTTTTCTGTCATTTTTTTAAAAACTGCAGTAGAAACATTTTTGAAAATCAATTATTTTTTAATAAAAATAAGCGCTTTTATTAAAAAAGAAAAAGTTAATTAACAAAGAGTAATGATATAATATTATGACTGTTTAAATATAGGGAGAACTGGATACAATCTGCTTTATTTATATGTGTGTGCGTGCATATATATATATATATATATACACATAAAATGTATGATGAAAGGGTATTTATAAAGGGTAGAAAATAGTTTAAACTTTCAACTTTGGCACATGAAAAATTAATTAAAGCTTTCCCTGACCAATGGTATAATAGTTTTTGCACACGGCAAACTCTTATGAATGAAACTCTGAGGTAGTACTACGTGACTACGATACAGCCATTATGCAAGTGGCTGTGAATGGTTGCCAATGACAACGTGTTGCACACCGTAAATTCTGATAATTTATAATATGGACTCTACCGGGTTTTTAAAGCTCAAACTAATACATTCCAGTTTAAATGTCTTCAAAATGCATTCTGAAACACAAGTTATCAAATATTTTGATGTAAATAGTGGTAATAAATTAATTTTTCCTAAGTATCGTCAACTTCCGCCATTAAAAAGGGGGCGTGGCCCACCCCATGGCGAAATCAGGTTGAGGAAACTGCATGACCTGCTGCGAACCCGTAGAAACATGGCGTCTCTCATAAATTACATTACATATCGCTGTGAAAATTGGCATACATGTAGATCAATATTTTAGTGATAAGGCGATGCGTTGCCTAATATAAAGTATATAGTCATTGCGCATGATGCGATCAGCGGAATGAGGTCACAAGATGTGAAGGTTTCGTCCATGGTCCATAGTAAAAAATACCAAACCAACTCATACTTTAAATTTAAAAATTCTTAGCTCAAAAAGTACTTAAGCTAAAAAGTTGATTCTGGTTTCTTTTTTTTATTTGAAATTTGCTCTAACTAACTGTGTTATTAAAACAATTATTTCAATTTTTAACAATTTTGTATTCAAGTACCTACCATAGGCTATGGCTATGGCGCCTATGGCATTAAGTTTCATTAAGTCTAGTATTAAATGTTGCTACAAGTCACAAGTTGATTTTAATTATTGGCTAATCCAAATAAATCAGTTCAGTTATAGCCGAATCGTGGGAATGCTAAATACATTAGATAACCAAATAAATATATAGGCCTATACTTTTCAAATCAAAATTTGCATACCCTATGTAACGAAACAGTACTGATAGAAGACAAAATTTGCGTAAGTCAGTCAAGAATCGGCAAGTTGGTCGCCATATTTGTAAACTTCCGGTATCTAAGCAAAATGCAAATTGCGTTTGGATAAGAAGACGGACTTATATTGTTTTTAAAAAATCTGTTTGTTCTTGCGCTTCACAAACTTTAGACCATACATCATGTTTATTTAATTCTGTACTTTAATTTTACTGTAATCTAATAAGATTTTATTTCACCGGAATATGAACAAGTACTTTGATTCCCAACCAATTAATTAAATATTAAAATCTAGTTAGAGCCCTATCAATTAGCAAACCAGGCACATACCCAGACCTGGCCGGAAAACGGAACCGGGTCCGGGTGTTAAAAAAAAAAGAATAAACTTCTATAAAGTGTTGCACACAGTGGGGAGAAATATACAGGGTGGCCCATAAAAGTGAGAAAATCTTGTAGCATAGTGTTATTTAATGTAACTGAATTAATATAATGATTTGCTGTAGTTGTATGCTAAGTTTTACACTAATCAGAAAAAAATTGTCAATGTCCGTTATTGTCCGCCCCCCCCCCTGCCAACTGCTCCTCTACGTTTATAAGCTATTACTTATGGATAAACTTAATAACAAATTCGGATGTAATTTTATTACATTGTAAGATATGTTGTCACCCTGCAGTTGTAGAACCAGAATTTTTTTTTTTTTAATATAATTCTGTTTACACTTTCACCTGGTGATACTAAGTAGCAACCAAAGTTTGTGCGTTGATCATTTCTGGCACATAATTAAAAAAAATAGTAATGCAATTTAAAACTAACTTCATTAGTGAAACGATTGGCCAGGGGACGTCCAAAATCATTTATCACAATTCTCTTTTTTTGTTAAGCAGCCACAGTCTTCATTTTATTTTTAAATCTATTAGTTGATTACTTCGTCTAAATTCTGCTTGTGGTGGCCTCCAAAATGTACCCCCCCCTCTAACACACACACATATATCATATAGGCCTACACGCCAATGTATAGAATTGTAGACCCATATATGGCCATATACCAGTGGTTCTCAACCTTCCTAATGCCGCGACCCTTTAATACAGTTCCTCATCTTTTGGTGACCCCCTCCCCCACAAAAAACCATTCAATTATTTTCGTTGCTACTTCATAAATATGTGTCCATGACCCTCAGAGGGGTCGCGACCCGCAGGTCAAAAAACGCTGGAATATATGCAAAGAACCCTATTAATGTTTAATAAAACTTGCATTATACACATCTTTCAGCTTTGATAGAATGAAAATCGGAATGAATTGAATAGGCCGAGTATCTTGTGCGCCTCTGCTTGTGAATGGATATACATTGAAACATATTAATATACTATACAAATGCAGTACTGTACGTTACATACAGTCACGTCAGTAGACTACTTAACTAGTAGTGACTCACGACAATGATTTAGGCTAATATTTAAAAATGTATGAATATAATATGACTATGATCATGACTCAATTGAAATGTTTCTGTTTTCTTCTCTATCTGACTAAGTTAGGGATAAGTTTAAATAATTGATATTAACATTTTGGCTAGATCAAATGTAGCATACAATGCTCAAGAAATAGCAAATATAACCTGGGCCTACCAACCACATAACGAAAATAAAAATTGGTATGACGCCCTTAAGTTGTATTACAAAATTTGTCGTGTTTACCCATAACTTGACATGGTCCTCGGTAGTATAGTGGTAAGTATCCCCGCCTGTCACGCGGGAGACCGGGGTTCGATTCCCCGCCGGGGAGGCCGTTATTCTTTTTGCCTTTTTAAAATAATATAAATTATATTTTTTACGATCTAACCATCCCCCAGGAACAGTTCAGATTTTCCTGGGCTTACGATTTTTGTCACATTATTTAAAATGGTAGGGTAAAGATGATTAATTTTGATTGCCCTCTTTGAATTCAGTTAAGCTGAGTTTAATTTTTAAATTAAAAGGTTGTTTTTTTTGTGTGGTTTTTTTGCATTTTTTTAATACCCCATTTTCGTTTTCTTCTTATGTCTTTTGATGCTTTAAGACTTAATTTAGAAATAATACTTCAAGCGATTCTTTACGATCTGGTATTAGAACTACTTGATACAGGTCGGGGTGAGGAGAGAGAACCAGATTTAAGAAATGAAGGGGTGGACACCATGAGTTTACCGCACTGGTTGACACCAACCTAGTAAAGCCACTTTCCTAGAGGACAGCAAGAAAATGTAATTTATAAGCACGTAGGCTTTGCAATGATCATCTCCCTTCCCACTGGGTTGTCCCCCTTTCTCATAAAATTCGAGTCTTTTGTCTGTCTAGCCTTAGCAAACCATGCTGTGGGAACACTTGTATAATCAGCGGAAGAGAGGTCATTCAATTCTAGCAGCCGCTATCGTTCGGTCCAGTTTCTTTGTCCTGTGTCCAGCTGCTGTCCGAATATTAATCGGCCACGCCCGCAGCTCTGTAAAATAAAAAAAAAAAATAAAAAATTAAAAATCCCATGCTAAAACGGAGTAGCATGGTTCTTCCACCCCACTCCCTCCTCTCCACCCCAAAGATATTTCCCACTGGTCAAAACCTGACTTTGAAACGACCTCACAGGGACAGGGTCCAGGCTCTCAGCCGTGTCACGTGGTCATTTACAAGACTGGTGGTAGCAAGCGTGTTGTTGTTCAGGGTACTTCCCTGCACTGACGCACTGACAAGGGTTTTTCTTCAAGAATATTCCTTATAATTGTATTGGAAGTTATTTAAATCGGCGATATTAGTAAATATTGTTAGATTTTTAGGCCTATATTTATTTTATTTATTTTTAAAAAGTAGCCTATATTTTAAAAATTGGTATTATAAATGTGAGTGTTTACTTTATCAGTAAATGTAAATATATTCAGAATATGCCACTTCATGGCGTTTTTTTTCTTCTTTCCAGATCCAGGCTTTAAGTACATCAGGACGCAGGTCACCCAGTTCCTTGGCTTTGTAACCATGACTAGTGTTTGATCTCGCCACTCACAAATGCTCACTAGAGGTCAAAGGTAATGTTGTCTTATTTTTTGCTCCCCGTGCCTCTCGTTTTTCAGTCTCGGAGTGAACAGAATAGAATAGTTAGGCCTCTTTTTATTAATCTAACAAGAACATCCAGCAAATTATTATGGCGTAAGGCAAGCTTTCAGTTATTTTGCTACCTATTATCTGGAATTATGCTAGATAGGCCTAAGCATAATAATAATAAGTAATAAACCCCAGCTTTTTTTTTGGGCCCACCTGCCTAATGACATAATTTGTATTTAATTTTTTTTACAGTTGGCCTACATAACATCATTATGATTATCATTAAAGTTGCCTATATTGGAAATATTAATATGTGTAATTAAGTTACGTTATTTTATGCTTTCTTTTCATACTAACCGTTTCTCACAGTGCATTACTACTATCTGGTGTTATTGCTGCGGTCAGTGTATTCATCATTTCCCTCATCCCGTCACCCATTGACCCAGTTCCCATCTAGTAAGTTCATTACATCATTTTATCAATACTAACAGGACAATGTTTTTAATAAAGTGGATGAGTTTACGTTTAGTTAAACATTTCATATGCGAGACTGGAGAAACAAGACAATTTAATAATAAAAATTAGCTGGAGTTTGAACTTTTTAGTTAATTTATTTTTAAAATTATTTATTCCAGACTTCTTAGTCTACACAGCCAGGGGCTTAGGCCTAAAAGGAGGTTTAATAAACCATTTAGGATTAATAAACCTTTTAGGAAGGTTTAATAAACCTTTTAGGCCTAGGCCCCTGGCTGTGTAGACTAAGAAGTTTATTTCACCCACTGTGTAGGCCTATATTCAAAATTAAACTCCTTGATAATACAAAGAGAATTGACTTTTAATAAACATCAAATTCAACTTGTGAGATAATTTTTATAGTTAAGCGAGGCCAATAACTTTATTTGCATTATTTTTACAAAAATTCTTGTTATGGTTGGTAGGGCAAATCATTTGATACTATGCTAACGTTTCCAAAATTACTGGTAATAGACTATGAAGATCTGTGATATTTTATTTTGTTTCTCATGATATCTTCTTATCTAGCTTGAGTGACCAACTACCTGTGCTTGATGGACCCCTGCAGATTAACTCTCGCCTACAGAAAGTAACAAAGTTGTTTTCTGGTCAGTTATTGGGTCCAGAATCTTTCGCAGTAGGACCTGATGGTAAGTAAATGGTTGCACTTTTTGAGAATAATGGCTGCACTTTTTCAGCTGCACATCTTTCTTAGATGGGAGATGAAACCCCACTTTAAAAAAAATTTCAAAATTTTTCTGGGCTGGTGTAGTCCTTATTTTAGAACATATGAAAGTACTCATTGGAAGATGATTTCCTATTCAAATAAAGCACAACTTCTTTAGGTTTGTTTTTGAAACCAATATTCTTGAATAGTATTGGAAATACCACGTGTTTAGTCCTATGGCACTAAAACATTCTATCTGTAACAACACTCCTACTAATATCTTTAAAAAAAAGAAACATTTGAGGTTCTGCTAATCATTTATTAGAAGGCATGAAAATTGGATTAATTTTTCGCTAGATTCAGAAAAGATATTTAAAAAAATAAGATACAAGCTAATTATTTGGCATTACCGAATAATGGTTTTTTTTTTGGTGGTGTTGATGGGAGCATTGCTGCAAAAACACCTTTTGAATATTTATCTATAAACATTTAATAATATAGATCTAAATGATATGTGAAGAAAGGTAATGGAATATACGCTTATAGCCAATTTCCTTACTAAAATATTAAGACACAATATTCACCAGTAGTATTGATTTTTTGTTGTTGAAGGATCTATATACACAGGGACTGGAGATGGTAGGATCTGGCGATTCAAGGATGGTCACATGAGCATGGTTGCTAGAACTGGTATTGACCATCCAGATTGTGGTAGGTCCCATAAAGTATTTATACAATAACAAGGAATGACCTGTCACAATGACACAAACAGAATATTCTGCTTAAAGCACATTAAAATTTTGGAATTAAATATATTTTTAAAAATGTCATTGAATGTTGATGTATGTTTTTTAGAATTTTTTAAAATGCAAGCCTAAAAAAAATGAAAGGGTTTTGTAAATATAGTTGCTTTGAATAGGAGGTCTAGCCATTTTTCAGCCTGTAAAAATGCTGTTTGATATGTAGTTATGTAGAAATATACATAACTGTTGATGCAATTTTATACAATAAGGATGGTGATTTAATTAATCCATAGTTAAGAGTTATTGCCCCTTGAAGCCACATCTACCACCTATACATATTTTAGGTCATTATATTGTTTAGATGGCAGTTTTAATATTTTAGTGTGTTTGGTGGTCTAAAGCAGGGGTCCTCAAACTACGGCCCATGGGCCAGATCTGACTCTACAGGGGACCTTTAGCTAGCCTGCCTGGCTGCCGCATGAGGACTCAGCTAGAAGCCAAAAATAAGGCACTAGATATTGATTTTCTATTTAGCCAAACCAGGACCATTCTTCCATTGAAATACTAATATACACTAATTTTAAATTATAGTCCCAATACCAACATTGTCTGAGAGACAGTGAGCTGAGGGACAGTGAACTGGCCCCTTGATTAAAAAAAAAATAATTGAAGTTATTAAAAAGACAAACAGATTGGGATGTCAATTAGGGAAAGCAAAATTTAGGAAGTGAATTAAAATATATGCCTTGTAGTTATTAGTCCCGACGCAAAATATTGTTAATTTGAAGTGAATGTATCATGGTTTCCTGCCTAAAGTATGTTCTCTCATATAACAGGTAAATTTCACATGGAACCAGTCTGTGGACGTCCAAAAGGAATCAAGATGAACAGTAAAGGATATCTGATAGTGGCAGACTCATACAAAGGCATTCTTGAAGTCAATGTTGACACTGGAGACATCAGGGTGTTATTAGATAGTAGGATATTAGGATAATAATATGTGCACTTAATTACATTACATAATATAAATCCCAGCTTTGAATAGATAATTTTCACAGTACTAAATCAAAATGATAAATATATTTATGTCGGTAAGGCAACATTTTGTAAATAAATAGATAAAAACCATGTTAATTAACTCTTCTTTTCAAATCTTCAATGAAGTAAAAAAAAAAAAAATTAATTATCCCCCTATTGCAGTTCTATATAGAAAACAAATATAATATTCTAATAGTAGGTCCATTGCTAAAGTTCTTCAGCCTGGTGAAGACCTAATGCAGTAGCAATCTGAAAATCTACTAAACCAGGGTTTGCCAACCTTTTTTATTGTCTGCAACCCTGTGATATGTTATGTTAAACTAAGTCATGAATCCCCTAAGCAATTGACTAACTCTTGCAACCCATACAAAAGGTAAAATGAATTTTAAAAGTGAAAACAAAAATTGAATTATTTCTTCTAATGAATCGCAAAGAAATTTTGTATAGCTAACTATAAGCTTGTGACTTATTACTTAAAGGAAAATTTTAATAAAGAAATTAAAAAAAAAAAAAAAGGTTCACATCATAACTTAAGTCCATTTGTTCTTATAATCACTTTTCCTCACAACCTCTGAAATTCTACCTTGCACCACCTGGGGTTGCAAGGACCCCACATTGGAAAACCATGAACCAAAACATTGGGAAGTGGTGCAAGAAATGTTAGAATATTCAATGCTTCATGTCCTTTTCCGTTTAGAATGTATTTATTAAAGTAAGATTGATTATTAAAAATATAAATACAAGTTACATCTAGTATTCCTCAATTTCTTAGAGTTTAATGGGTCAAGATTTGTGTTTCTCAATGGCCTTGATATTGGTTCAGATGGCACCATTTACTTCTCTGACTCAAGTACCAAGTGGGAAAGGCGAAATTATCGGTATGAGGTAAGTCTGGGTGACTAAAAATAAAAAATAATCAGTTGTAATGATCCATTGTAAATAAAATAGGTAACTCCACAAAATGACAAAAATATTATGAGTAATAGTAGGTACAAAACATAATGACATAGTCGTAAGCATGTGGATTTATTATTAATACAAATATTTATAGTCATTGTGTGTGATGTGGGGGGGACTCTGTTGTCACATAAAAAATGACTTGGGTGGCGCCCCGAATTTGCCCTGGAAAAACTACTCCACTGGTAAATTATGTTGGATATAAAGAAATAAAATTCAGCCAAAGAATGATGTATTGGGATATAAGAAAAGTGAAAAGTTTATTGAACAATTTTAAACATTTTGTTGGCAATTAACATAACAAAAAATTGGCATTTGAAAGCATACAAAATAAATACTTATTAAATTTATGTATTTTAGTAAGGTTAAGTTAAATTAAATATTTATTGTGTACAATTTATAACACTTTGAGATTTAAAAATCTACTTTTTTTGGTTGGAAATTGTAGGTGATTGAGACAAATAAACTTGGTCGTGTCATAGCCTTGAATCCCCTGACCTTGCAGGCAAGACTCTTACAAGATGGCCTTTACCTTGCTAATGGGCTGTGCCTTGCACCAGATGACAGTTTCCTGCTAGTTGCTGAGATGAGCATATCAAGGATATCAAAGTAATTTAAAAATTCTTCATTAACCATTAAATAGAATTGTGTAGGAGATGATATTTTTTATTTTCAAGTAAGTTCTCTTTTATGTTAGCTCCATGCAGTGGTGTTTTTAACACGTTTCAAGTGCCACTTAAACGACCTATGATGTAACCCAAAGGCTCTACTACATTTCTCTTGCTGTCCTCTTGGATACATTTCAGCTGAGTTTTTAAATTTTGATATTTGTGTTACTCTTTATTTGTACTGTTTGCTTCTTGCCAAAATGATCATAGTTTTGTTTCTTACTTTTTTCAGGTGTTCCCCTACCTTCTCTTTACATATTTCTTCTTCTTCTATATCTTAAGGGCCCACAATCAATTTATTGATAATTTTGGCTCCTATGCATGTAGATGGGATTTGCAATGTTTCTGTTCCTGGTGTTGATGAGGAAATTTCACTGATTTCCAGTGCCAGTTAATGAGGGAATCATGCACTAGGGGTTTGAAGGCTTGAGGCAATAGACACAATAGACAGACCCATTAGTGTATCTTGCCAGGCCATTTCACAACTATTCACTGCTCTAGAGACCTTTGTGAGACATTCTAGTCAAACTCTGCATGCTGCATTATCTGTTATAGCAGTGATTCTCAAACCATTCTGACTTCTGAGAGATGATCAGACAAAGGGCAATTAAAAAAAAAAAATTTAATAATATTTTCATTTGCAGATCAGTGATTGAGTGGTCTTGGACTAGCTTTTTCAGAAGAACTGGGTTACATCATTTATTTAGTTCAAATTAGTTTACACAAATGGTATGAAAAAAATTTGATAAAAAATACATATATTTTATTTGCTAGACTTGAAATGATCAAACTTTCTTTGGTCTGATTTCAGAATCTACTTGAAGGGACCAAATACAGGACAAGTGGAAGTGTTAATTGACAATCTCCCTGGGTACCCAGACAACATTAAAGAAAATGACAGGGGAAACTACTATGTTGGCATGGGATCAGTCCGCTTTCAGGGGTCCAGTCCCATTGGTTCCTTTTTAGACATTGTGTCACAATATCCTTCAATCAAACGGATTGTTACCAAGGTAGTATTAAAAAAAATAATTTTTTCTTGAAATTTTAATTTAATTTATTTTCCAAAATGTGTACGTTGGAGAAAAAAATTATTAAGCTACATGCCATCGATTTGTATGTACATATAGTAATGGCATTAATACCTTTTGGTCTCCCTGTGTCTAATCATTTTTGTAAGGCTCAAAGTGTTTTATCTCATTTGAAGACCTGGCGTACTAGGCAACACTTTGATCAAAATTTAACACAGGAGGACATTTTATCCAAAGCTAACAGCATATTTTTGTAAAGAAAAGTATATATAATCTCTTATGTTTATTGCTCACTATGCAGTTTCACTGTCAAATAATTTTATCATTGTAAGGCAGCACAAGTGATTTTTTGAAAGCTATTCTTTAATATCTTGAGAATTTATTTGTTTTTAGAAAAGGACTTTAATAATAATAATAATAATAATAAGTGGTCTTATATAGCGCGGTACCCCGGCCTAGGGCTGGGCTCACCGCGCTGTACAAATATATAGCAAAGAGGCATAATCATAATATTAAAATAAAATACATAAATGAAATAAAAACAACATATAAGCAAAACAACACCATAGGTATATTCATCCACCCACACCAGACATTTTTACAAGGAAACCAGGGGTGCCACTTTTCCGGGCCATCCCGGAATTCCGGATTCGTGAGGCTAAATATTTGTCAGTTCCGGATTCGCGAGTTTTTATATTCTCTATTTCCGGATTCGCCAGTTCAATTTATTCAAATACGGATTCTTTCTGGTTTTTTTTTTTTTTAAAGAATCAACGTGCAACAGAATTCGCGAAAAACCAGGAAAATTCCTTGAAAATGGACGTTAATCGCCGATCTCGTCTATTTTTAGCCTTTCTGTTGACAGAGAGCTAGAGGTTTCCCCTTGCGCATGCGCTTTACACTACGCGTTTCGAGTACCGTACTACTTCGATAGACCAGAAATATTTATTTTCTATTCACGTCGCCAATCAAGACATATTTGAAGTGTTTGGGTAAGCAAAGTGTAAAATTTAGTAAATATCTTTTTAATTTAGTTTTTAATTGTTGGGTAACCATTATCATAAAAAGAAAACTACTCGTCTGAGCGCTGTCTAACAAGACTAAGCTTAGCGTACTTTGTTATGTAGCTTTACTGTATGCAGGCGACTTGTATTTTTTTTTTATTAGAAGAGCTAGGACTAGGCGGCGTTTAACTTTTTTTTAAAGACTTCTTAAGTTCACTTTACATTTAATTACGGAGTAAGCCTTCTAATTTTAAATAGGCCAATATGATTAAGTTATTTTTATCCGTTCTGTAGAGAGCCTGACATAACCGTATTTAGTTAGTTTTTATTTATTAGTTATGCACTCCCGTGTTCTGACTCTGGGTATACTACTTTACGGTAATTTGTAATTCTACTATTAGTATTCATAATGCTCTGTATTACCGTAGCAGTAGTGCCGTAGTTAAATTTAAATACTGGTATAATATAGTCGATATTATTATTATGTATGCCTTACTATAAACTATAAATCTAATAATATTTTATTTTGTTTCACTATTCAGGATCTAGGCTCAATAAAAATATGTAATGCCCAACAGTTAACAGTTCCTTTAACTTTAAAGAACTGATGGGCATTACAGTTACAGTACAGCAATTGGCAATCATGATTGAATAAGCATTCAATGAATACTATGCTGGAAATATTGATATCAAGTATTCAAGGGGAAAATGTCTGAGTCAATCATCTTTATCACCCATCTTAGGTGTCCACTTTTGTAACTTCTCAATTTATGAAATTTATGTGTCAAACTATGAAACTCTCACACTTGGGAGATAGTATAGACACTAAAGTGTGTTGATTCAAACTATCCATTTTCATCATAAAGAAGACAACATTAACTCCATATATGAAAAGATAATTTCCACTTGTGGTAGCTATACTTTTGTTCTAAAATGCCCAGATAACTCATTGCAAAAGTTGACTTTTCAAGTCTAAGTAAATTGAAAAATTGCTATTGCTGTAAATTTAATAAATACTAATAAATGTTTACATGTATACACCTTAATTGCTTAATTTTGTTCATTTGTGATGTATCTCAATGTTTTATTTGATAATTTTATGCTTGTTTTTATATTAATCAACAAAATGCTGCATTGCGATAATCAGGAATTTTGAGTTTCATTAAGTTTCAGGGATTGAAAAATTTGTAAATGAAGTTTCAGGTTTCAAGAAATTTTTAGAAAGGGATTTCAGGGTTCACAGGTTTCAGTGAGTGGCACCCCTGAAGGAAACCCATGTACGTTTATCGGTTTATAGGAGGAGACTCAGTCAGAGTAGTAGGAGCCAGAATGATCAATTCATTGATTGTGGGCCCTCAAAATAAAGAAGAAGAAGAACAATTAATAATAATAGTGAAGTTGTTTTTCTGTGGCATTGAGAAAGAAATTCTTTTCTAAAAAAATAATTCTATAAGCTTCACTATTGCATGGCCATATTTCTGAAATAAACTTGTTGTGTAAAGCTCTATTTGGAAACTGTGATCTTAGATGAGTAAGTGATTGATATTGTGCTTGCAAATACCTTTAGGCCACAGGATAAACCTGTAAAATCGATCTATAAGTAACTAGAATAAATGGCCCGATGTTATCGGGATAATAATGGTAGATCCTATGCGATAATTTCTAACTGCTATTGCAAAAACTCATCACAATTCATAACTTTAAAAATGTAATAATATTTACGTTTCTAACATCATTACGTTTTGAGAAGAATTCAACTGCTATATATTATAGGCCTAGCCTACTCCTTTCACGCTCCTAAACTACTTTTTTCCCCCTCTAAACATGACCTTAAATTACACAGTCTAAATTTTTACTAATTATATCACTTTTGTCACTAAAGAAGTTAATTGATTGACAATTACTACTTTAGAGAAATACTTTAGATTTACCCCTTTTCGTGCCCTTGAATTAAAACTTTTATACTCTAAAAATTGTTTAAAAAACTTGCCTTAAATTTACACCAAAAACTCTATACCGGAATATGATATAAAAATATTTTATCTTATAAGAATTCGATATATATTGATATCTTCAGCAAAAATTTAAACACATTTTTTGCCTTTAAAAAAAAATTATATGCTATCAGAAAATCGTAAACAATGAATTCTTTTATCTAAAGAAGAATCGCGCAACCTTTTTTCACGTCTATGTCAGATTTGAGTTTTTTTGTTTTTTTTACATTTAAATTTTAATCTCATAAAATACAAATCTCTTTACTTTTTGCAAATAAAAAACAAAAATGTATTTTAATTTTTTGAAAGTAAATATTAACCCAACCCTATTTTAAGTGTGTAAAATGATTGGGTTTTGATATTCATGGGTATACTTATATAAATTTACCCAAGATTTGTTAATGCCGTTGATCTTCTTAATTGGTAAACATACGTTTATTTGTAAAAAGAGAATGTAACGTCTCTTTTTTCCACATATGTAATATCATAAGAGTTAACTATATTGTCATCCACGTGAAAATGTACACATCATATTTCCTACCTCTTAAATGTATGTTCCCAAGAAGGTTAATTATTTATTAAATTCATTCTTTTATTTTGAGACGTATCTTGTGCTGCCAGGGGCAAAGTAACCAACCCCTCCCCCACCCAGATTTAAATAAATTTTGAAAAATCTTCTACCAGATTCTTTGATTTCATTTGATATTTATACAGCGCTGGTATCTATGCCACGCTAGCATGCTCACTGCGCTCTTGTCCTCTGAACTCTATTGAAACAAATGTTTTTGTTTCTTAAAGGATTGTTTATCATTTACAATTCTCCTTAAAGATTGAGGCAAACTGTTCCATAATTTTGGCGCTATCGCTTTAAAAGAGTGCACTTTGTAAGACTCTTTTCTGTGTTCATCCACTCTAGGAAAGCTCAGTAAGTACTGTGTTGAAGACCAAAGGCTCTTCAGAAGTACATATTTATAAAGAATTTCACTGAGATATTCTGGTGCTGAGCCATCTATGCAGCTTTACGCCGGGACAAAATTAATGTAGTCCCTTCCATACCCAAACTAAAATAATTTGCACTTCATATGGTTCGTTCTTTTTTGTTTTACCGTAGTTATAAGTTGATTAGTCAATGCTATTTGGCTATGGAGTTGCGCTGCACTGTTTGACTTAAACCCTCCAAAACCTGACATGTGAAAAATTGACATTACATTGTAGTATACATGTTATGGAATTTACAGCCATCATTATTATTTTATCACAGTCTTTATTCTTTGATTATATTTAAGGTTCGTTATAATTTTAATAAATGTATATTTTTGGAATTAAAAAAGGCAACACTTTTTAATGTTAATATACACGGCAGAAATGTGTGTGTTTTATTAACAATTTAAAAAGCAAGCAATTGTATTTATTAATTTTACTTTTAAGAAGGGAAAATACAGCATCAGTTTTGTCACGTGCGGTTATTAAATTAAAAGAAAACTAAGAGTTTTGGAGAAATAAGCTATGAAGTCATTTGCTGTTTATTTAGAACAAATTAATTTAAAATTTTATTTTGCAATGTTAACAACGCACTAAAAGGGGCACTAAAAACGACTGATGTTTTGGTTTTCCCAATAAATGTGATTACGGTGTAATTCTTTGATCATGATTTTTTAATTTTTTTTATTTTTTCATAACTTTTAAACACATATAAAATGCTTAAAATAGTTCATTAGTTGATACTTTAAATTTATTTGTAATTTATAATAATAATACTTAAACCTTTACTATAAATAAAAGCGGATTTAAAATTTTTTTTGCGGATTTAAATTTATTCGATATCTGTAAAATAATAGAAAATAACTATGATTGTTTTTATGAATCTGAAGTACTTAAATCATATCTCCCTTGAAGTGTTAGGTCACCCTAGCTCATTCTTATATATATATTACACTTTCCAATGGTTGCAAAAAACAAAATTATTAACAAATCTTAAATCAAGTTATTGCTGTAAGACGTCAGAGGTTATAAACTAGAGTCAAGGAATGAAGATTTTTTTTTTTTTAAAGTTTATTTTTCACATTTAGACCATTGCTGTATGCTTGGTATGTATAAATATATTTTGATCAGATGTGTCCAAAAGCTTTTCCTTCTCTCTTCACAGGTGCTGCCCTCCCTTTATTTTGATGTTTTCTTGCCAAGACATGGGCTGCTGTTGGAGATCAGTTCTGATGGAGAGATAGTAACATCACACCATGACCCAGGGGCAAAGGTCATCTGGGGTATCAGTGAAGCATACCAGTATGGAGACGGCATTTACTTTGGAAATTTCAAACAAGACTTCATTGGCTACATTTCAAAATCTGAACTTTATGTTTAGCAATAAATATATTTTCTCATTTCAGATTCCCTTTTCAAATTTTTAGGCTGATTTTCAAATCAATTTTATTGAATTAACGGCATTGCAATCTGAAGTTATTTTTATTAACTTTACCATGCAAATGCATAAAGTAAATTTATTTTTACCGACTTGATTTGCAACCATAATTGAGTTTTACAATAAGCTATTTGCTTTGTTTAAATATGACAACCAAGGTGAAATTAAAATATGTGTTGGAACCATCTGGCCTTAATAATAACTTTGTTTCTAGATCATTTTATTTCAATTTGTGAATAATTAAATCTTAACCTCATGGGTGAAGTACAATATAAATGTACCAGTCAAAGGGTAATACAGGGAAGAGACTGCAATCAGATTAGGTGAGAAGGAACTAAAAACTTGGCTCCAATGTAGTAACCAAGAGTTACTTTTATTCTATATTTTTTTTTACAGTTTGTTTGCTGGAGAGGCTTCATGTCAACACTCATTTGTTTTGTTGCGTCATTTTTTCAGGTTTTTCCATACTTTTTTATGCTTATTTCTTTTAAAAATCCCCACTTTTTTGTCTCCGATTTCCAATGCTTTTTAATGTGAGTTTAATGAAACTCCAATGGGAGAAGTGGATTGCAATTTTAATAATAAATTCTCCACTTTTATTTTTTAATAGCAGGCAAGAACTAACAAAAGTAGATAATTATAATTGGGCTATTAGTTTATTACAAATGTAATTTGAATTTCATGTTGAAACATCAATAACATATTAGTAGTCAAGTAAATTATGTCATACACTGTTTACTCTAGCAATTTTTATCTCAGTTAATTTCAAAACTAAAATTATACAATTCTATACATGTTTCTCATCTTAAAATGTATTGAATCTATATAAATAGTTTAAAAATAGTAATGAAAAGGGGAAAAAAACAACAGAAAAGGGGCAATATCTAATTCATTTTCTTTCTTCCCATAATTAACATGCTGCATGTAAACTGACAAAATATAAATGATATAAATATGATATATAAATCATATAGGGAATTGGGTTCCCCCACTGTCAACCAAGAAGTTATGTGCTCGGTTAAGTCATTTAATAGCATTAAAATCAACAAATTAAAATAATACACATGCCTGCCTACTGATTTTAAACTTACTCAAACATTTTTAGCAACTTGTCCAGGAGTTAGGCTTTTAAAAATATATTGAAAAAAGTAAATAATGTAATTGAAAAAAAAATCTTAAATTCTAATTTTTAAATATAAATGTAAGACAGACATTATTTACATCAGCTATTTTCAAATCTTGGTGCAGACATCTATGGTGCAGACATCTAAATATTAATTTCTGACACTTGATGTGCATTAGTGAATTCATTTCAGCTTCATACTATGCTACAGATTTCATTACCAAATAACATTTATTAATATACACACACACAGCCATTTACTGCATACCTTGATGGTGACAAAGTCATTTAACTTTGAACCAACAACATTTTGCTGCACATATTACTTTTATGTCAGTGTTAGAGTCTCACAGTGTATATTTCCTGCATGAACTCTGCTGGCAGTTTGAAATTCAATACATAATTTTATCATCAGAATGCTCATTTTATGCTATTCATAAAGTAGAACAAATGCTTATTAAATCACCCTCCAAAACCTGACATGTGAAAAATTGACATTACATTGTAGTATACATATTATGGAATTTACAGCCATCATTATTATTTTATCACAGTCTTTATTCTATTAAAAAATAGCTCCACTTTTTGTTCTGTCTTCAGTGGATTTAGACTTTTTTTCTTAGTTTCAAAAAGTGCCATTTTTAAAATTTTTTTTTTAATACTTGTTTGAAAGCAATGTTTAGTCCATTGTACTAATCATGATAAAGCTATTGTTCAGTTAGTAATAATCAGTCCATTGTTCAGATAGTGATAATCAGTCAATTGTTAAGTTAGTGATAATTGGTCAATTGTTCAGTTAGTAATAATCGGTCCAATTTTACACCACCACCCCCCCCCCCACTCCTAACAACAAAAAAATAAAAAGTTTTCCCTTTTTTTTCAAGGGGAAGATGAATGAAATATGATTTGTTCTTTGGGTGCGTATTTTGGTGTGGAGATAGTGTAGCTGTTGCTATATGCTTTGTATTTGAGACGTATTTGGATTTAAATATACGGTATCTTTAGTCTTTTTGGTTTTACATGCACTGAGTTTAAATAAAAACCATCCCCATACCAATAACTAGTTGCTACAAGTCACATAAATGATTAATCACGTACAATTACATAAATGCAAGCAGAAAAGCATATAAAGGATTTATATGGAAAAACATAGACTTTTTAGGGTTTGTTCACTTTCCCACCAAAATATAGTGCTCGTCTGTAGCCTACCAATCCTCATTTTAATCAATTATAAAGACAAGGAATCGATAAAAGGATTTTATCCAATTCACACTGCTCTCTTAAAAACGTTTCAAAAATAAAGTGATTTTCCATAAAACTGCTGGCTTAGCGATTGGTATTGGACCTAACTGCAACCCCCCCCCCTTTCCTTTCCCCTAATCAGCGGATTCTTTATGTCTGCACACTAAAACCGGACAGTTTGAATGATGAAGGATGTAATCCGACACAGAACCAATCAAAGTTCTCCTCACTGTTCCTAAACCACGTGATCCGGTGACGATGCAATGAACTTTGTGTTCCATCGCTGCCTGCACGATTGCTGCTCCAGGCTCACCGGAAAGCCGGAGAAGTTTGCCCTTGACCTGTTTCAAAAAATTTTTTAAAAAATCATTAGATTCACTGCGAATACAGGTATCCTCTTTCACTAAAGCGTAAATGTCACCTTAAGTTTTCACCTGGGTTTTCCTGGGATGCAAACTTCATTGGACAAGGGACACAATTAGAAAAACAAGAAAGTAAATAACATTATATTGGCGTACTTTGGCTATTTGTGTGTGTGGGTGTGTAAAATTCTAAGGATCACTTCGTAAAAAAATCTGACAAGACAGGTCGGTTGACTCTGGGTCAAGCAATAAAAAAAAAAAAGAAACAGATGTGACACTGGCGTAGCTATGGTAGTTGCCTACCGCCTAGGGCCCCTTTACACTAAAAAAAAAACAAACAACAAACCCTCAGCAGTTGGCCGAAAATGACACCCTTTAATATAAAGAAAAAAAATCGGACCGCCCCCCCCCCCTTTTCCGCTACCCCTTTCCTATGCCGCTGGACAGTGATACACACTAACAATTAACAATAATCACGAAGTTGTCCCCTCCCCCAAAAAAAAAACAAACAACAAACCCTCAGCAGTTGGCCGAAAATGACCCCCTTTAAAATAAAGAAAAAAAATCGGACCGCCCCCCCCCCCTTTTCCGCTACCCCTTTCCTATGCCGCTGGACAGTGATACACACTAACAATTAACAATAATCACGAAGTTGTCCCCTCCCCCCCCCCTCTTTTTCCAAAACTTACACCAGACTGAGTTAGTTTTCCTTTAATTTGGCCCACGATCTTGTTGACTTCCTCCTCTTCTTGCTGTATCATCCGTGACATCACAGAGGCGTCCGATGTCATCATAGCTGAAAGACACGCGTTCAAGTAAACACTGTTAAAAGACAACGACTTTTGGGAAACACACATTGTCGGCAGTTCTTAATTGATTTAATCTTTGATCATGATTTGATTAGGAGTCTTATTTGCGATGGGATCATTATTTTTTTTTTAATAAATCCCTAATTCAAATAAAAATGGCGCATTTTGGCTTTTTAAAATCAAATGACAAACATTATTTTTTATACTAGGGGAGATAATGATGTTTGTATTTTTTTTCTTTTATCTTATTTTGTAATAGAAAATAGCTGCATGTTATGATTATCCACGACTTTTAGCTTGTAATAACACAATAGCACCACATGACTTGGTATACAATTAAAATTTTGATATTTTAGAAGTGTTTTTTTTTTTAAAATTTTTTTTTTAAAGCTCATCATTGCTGCTATTTTACAATTAATTGAAATATTGCGCATCGCATTCAAACTGGTGCTCCAACCATAAAATAAAACTATAAAAGTTATGTCAGCCAAAAAGAGGCAAATCTGAAACAGACAAATATAGCTTGGTGCTTGATATAAGAAGTATGAAAATATTGTTTTTTGGTCCCTTTATCTTATTTCAAGCTTCCGCATACCTCGTTTTGCTATTTCATTCATTTAAGAAATATAACCGAGTTACGTACATGGCATCAGATTCTGTACATGGGAAAAAGGCTTTCCGTGATGCGTACTGCTATGCGCCACTATAACTTCGGTATCTGGCGTGTGCATTTGAGTCATATACCCTGGAGGGAGTTGAGACAGTGTATTTTAAAATACATGAAAAAGTCTGTATTTAACAAAGTTAAAGTAACAATGTTAAGGACCAAATGACCTACCTTATCTCTACTTCTATTACGCTTTTTTTTAAACCCCGTTTGGGGCATAGGCCATCTACAAGAATTTTCTATTCACCACGGTCCTGTGCTTTCCTTTCCAGTTGTTACCAGGTGTATCCCAAGGTGTATCCCAATGCTTTGCTCGCCTGCTTCTAGCTCGCGTCTCCATGTAATCTTTAGCCTTCCTCTATTTCTTCTTCACCCCCTCCCTCCGTGGATTCCATGTTAGGGATTGTCTGGCGATGCTATGGCGATGCTATCTGGGGGTGGGGGGTTACGGGGAGTATGCCCCCATCCACCTCCATCTTTTCTTTATGATGTCTTCATCAACGGGCGCCACCTGGTGTGTCCTTTCCAGTAGAAGTACATCGTTGTTGGTGATGGTGTTTGGCCATTTGATGGTCAAATGACCTACCACATACCACGAATCAAATGCATTGATTTGAATTGTTTTATTATTCTTAAAACGAAAGTACGGTGACGTAAACCATCTTCATCAGTTGGTGACCAGCAGTTTTTGTTTTAAAGGGTGACAAGCCATCTTCATCAGTTGGTGACCAGCAGTTTTTGTTTTAAAGGGTGACAAGCCATCTTCATCAGTTGGTGACCAGCAGTTTTTGTGACAACGGGTGACAAGCCAAGGTAAAACAAAATATTGGGGGAAAAGCAGAGGTCATTGACGTCATGACACGGACTTAAAGAAATTTACACTGACATCCTTGTCATTGAGATTTAAAAAAAGAGAAGAGAGAAAGAGAGAAAGAGAGAGGGAGAGAGAGAGAGGGAGAGAGAGAGAGAAAGAGAGAGAGGGAGAGAGAGGCAGAGAGAGAGAGAGAGAGAGAGGTAGAGAGAGAGAGCGCGTGAGCCGATAGCACAGGGGGTCTAAAACTAAAAGTACAAAAAAGGGCCCGTAATAAGATATGTCAATTGGCTAAGGGCAGTAACGCATTGGAGAAACTTGCAAGAACTCTATATTATAGAGTATAATGAGAAGAAAAAAAAAAGAAGATAAAAGAGAAGCGGAACCTTTCCATGGGGTGTGCTAACGGTGGGCTCACGTACTTCTCAAGACACACGAGTCGCCTGCTGCGTTAATTTCCCTTGCAGTTACTTGGCGATTCAATGGCCTTTATAAGAAAAAAAAAGTATAAAAATATGTTAACCGGGGTCTCAAACTAGAATAACAAAAAAAAAAAAAAAGGTCAACATTTTTGGCTCAATATGTCAACGTTCTTCTGGACAGCTGATCCCGTTCAGCCACTGGCGTCTGTATTGAGTGGGCGTCTTAGCCGGAACGGGGAAATAACGATTTATCAAGCTCTCTGAATAATGCACGCCAGGCCAACATTTAGATGGTGGCTTGTTATTTGTTACAACAAAAGTAATTCATTCTAAAATAAGAGAAAATAAGATCTCTTTTTTTCTTTCTTTTTTTTCCCATTTAAAATATATTTTCCTATGGTTTAAAATGAGTTGGTAATTAGATTATTTTCATTCCTAGTTTTTTTTTTACATCCTCGTAAAATATATATGTTTAAGCTTTCGAAACATGAAACAAGAGGAAGGAAACGAATAAAAATCATCATCGGTCAGTGTTTCCTATACTGTAAAGACCCAGATAATGTTAAAGCTACCGACCCGTACGTCCTGCTGCATGCTGGGACGGGTAGGCACCAGATGTTCGGTGGCGTCTCGAGGTGCCCTTTTTAAATGAGATTGGGAGGAGGGGAGGGAATGCGGAAGGGATGGGAGGAAAGCTTTTTTTTTTTTTTGGGGGGTGGGGGGGGGGGATCAAATCATATTCCAACCACCCCCCCCCCCCCCC